TGCTAGGGTTCAGTTAAGTGCTATTGTAAGCCCTCTTTACCCATCCGTTGGTTTTTCAAGACTTACAGGTCTCATCTTTCTGGATGCTTTCTATTTTCTTCCAACTCTGCTTGTGAACTTACCAATTCTTGTCTGAGTTGATCACTTCTTAAAAAACCTCTTAATAGACAGCAAAGAGTAGCCAACACAGATTGACATTCAGATTCTTTCCAATAGTTTCATTTGAAGTAATAGGAGAAGTAATCTGCTTCTCCAGTTATCGTAGGTAATAGTTTTGCCAGATGTTTTGTGACAACAGAACAAGGATGGTCAATATTTTAGCCTGAAATGCTCACATCCCCGTCACCTGCGACTCTCTCATTGTATCAATGCCATATCTTAGGTTTCCATTATGGCATCACCATGCAAGTTTCTGTATTATTTGGGGCAAGTGCTAAGCTGCTGTAAAGAGAACCAAAATGCCTGGGCTTAAATATGATAGACACTTATGTCTATCACATATTACATATCACATATTACAGTACAATGCAGGCTCTGTTCCAGGAAGTGATTCAGAGAAGCTATGAGTGAAGTCAAGCAATTGTCTTCAAAGCATAGCTTCCACAGCTGCTGAAGACATAGAAAAAGGAAGGGTGATTTGAAAGTAAACATCTTTCAGAAAAGGAACTGGTAGGTGAACATACCAATTTCATTCATTTTCATTTGGTGAGAACTCAGGTACTTGGCTACATTTAGCTGCAAAAAGTTTGAAAAAAAAGTCATTTCAAGTGGGGCAGCCCCACTGAAGAAAAAGTGAGAATAATTTTTGGGGGATAACCAATATTGTAGTCAGCATACTGGTCTACCTTATTCTTTATAATGCTTATGTAGTATACCACGTAACAGATGCACTGTAATTTTTCAACCATGTCTCTCTTGGAGGATTTTTAGATCATTTCCAATGTATTGCTATGATAATCCCTCTTTATACATAAATATTTGAGCCCTCTAATTTTATAATTTGTGTCCAAACTGCCCTCTGAAGTTCTATTATCCTATCCTCGTACTAAGGGTATTGAGTATGCTGCTTCCCCATGGCTTCACAAAAGTGTGTCTTATATGACTTTTTAGTTTTGCCAATTTATTTGGTAAAAGATGGTGTCTTGTTTAGCTTGCATTTAAAAAGTTATGTTTAACATTTTTACCTTTCTTTATAAAATCATTCCCTCCCTCCCTCCCTCCCTCCCTCCCTCCCTCCCTCCCTCCCTCCCTCCCTTCCTTCCTTCCTTCCTTCCTTCCTTCCTTCCTTCCTTCCTTCATCTCTCTCTTTTTATTATTTTGAAACTGCCTATTCTAACCTTTTACCACTTTCCTGTTGAGGTTTTGGTAAGTTTTAAAAATAAATTTTAATTAGCATTTTATAGATGCATAATGTTTTTCTGAATATAGTATTCCCGGGCATCACTCAACACCAGGGGTGGGAAAACTATGGCTTGGAGGCCAAATCTGCCCTGTAAATGACATTTTATTGGAACACAGTCATGCTCATTTGTTGACATATGGTCTATGGCTGCTCTTGCCCTACAATGGCTGAATTGAGTAGTTTTGACAAACATTATGTGGCCATGAGCCTAAAATATTTACTCTCTAATCTTTACACAGAAAAAAGTTTGGTGATTCTTGCCCCAGACTCACGGAAAGAATCTCCAGTGTTGTGTACACACATATATTTTGAAAAAAACTTCCCAAGTTTCCAAAGCTGGAGAAGCATGTTTGGAAAAAAAGTATCCAAAGTTTGAGAAACATGATTTAGTTAGTAGTAGAATACAGAAAGGCATACTCTCTCATCAGACTTCTTTTCACCTCTTGTGCATTTCTTCCCCTTTTGTTTCCATATCTGGCCACCCCAAAACCAAAATTTTAAGAGAAACATTTAGGGGGTTTCCAAGTTAGTATGGCTTGTAGTAATCTGTTTTATTACTCAGGTATTGCAAAATTCCTTAGCTGTAGTAAAACTTCATAAACAGTAAAAATTTGGGGCAAAAGCAAAAAGTGGACATTTCTTGCATGTTAAAAAAGAAAACACAGTTCTTCTCTTTAGGAAATAATTTTTTCATGCACAGTGGTACATGTGTGTGCCTAGACATGCATACATTAGCATAATGATGTGTATGTTTATACATAGCACACATAGACACATAAACATTGAAATCGCCACTTTGGATCAAACTCATGATTTAGACAGTCCAGTATTTTGTCTTTAGTTCGTGTCCTGAGCCACCCTCAAACCCTTCATGAACAAGGAAATAACCACTTAAACATCTGAAGCTTTCATCTCGATGTCAATCTCAAAGTTACAGGATGAGTCTGAACGATCCTACTTTTCCTTAGTACACCATTTGACTCTGTTATCCATGACTTTATTAGATCCGCTTTAAAAGGTACTTATATATTTTCCCTACTCTCACTCCACCTCAACAAAGTGCAATAGGGTTCTGTTCCTAAAGACAGAAAACACTCCAGGTGATGCCATGCAATTATTACAAAGCCCCTAAAGCAGCCTTTATTTTTTGTGTTATTTTCTCTCTCATTGTGGAAAATATTTCAATACCACCTGAATTTCAGGCAAATGCTTATATAAATAAAAGCATTTTTCCCTAAATGTAAATAGATTTGATTTCCTAAATGAGGAGGAAAATCTTTACATGCTGCACTGATGGCCTAGAATCTTCTTATGTGTGAATTAGAACTTCAAATATAACTTAAAAAGTAGAATTGAAGCATACCAAAAACAATGTAAGCATTGCCTATGTTCCTTCGGCTTGGAGTTTAGAATTGTTATTTTCTTTTCAAACGGGGCATTTAGTGCCAAAGGTTCAAGGGACTATGTTTCATTTAACAGGTGCATTATGTTAGAAACAGTACCCTGGATCATAGAATTAATATATTTTTCTAGAAATGGAATTATTATTCAGAAATCGAAATTAGGTGCTTCATAAGATTTCTAGGCTCTTAGCAAATGAGCTGTGGAATTTAATAGACTGGCCATGGCCCCTCATTTCTGAGTATGTTATGTAAGTTCACTGCGTGGGAATTCTATGCTCATGCCCAGTTTGATCCATACCCAGAGCTACAGATGATCCTGTATTAAGATGTCCTTTAAAAACAATGTACACACTGAGATGTTTCGACTTAATAAAGTGAATATCTATTAATATGATGGTTAGTTTTAAACATCAAGCTGAAAGGGCTAAGGGATACCCAGATAACTGGCAAAACATTATTTCTAGGTTTGTCAGTAAGGGTGTTTCTGGAAGAGATTAACATTTAAATCAGTGGGCTGAGTAAAGAAGATCCACCCTCACCAATGTCGGCAGGCGTCATCCAATTCATTGAGGGCCAGGACAAAACAAAAAGGTGGAAGAAAGAGAGGTTTGCTCTTTCTTGAGCTGGGACACCCATTTCCTCCTGCCCTTGGACATTGGAGCTTTTGGTTCTCAGACCTTCACATTCTGGGACCTAGACTAGCAGCCTTTGACTGAGTTACACCACTGGCTTTTCTGGCCTTCAGAGTCACACTGAATTACATCATCAGCTCTCCTGGTTCTCCAGCTAGCATAGAGCATATTTTTTGGGACTTCTCAGCCTCCATAATTATGTGAGCCAGTTCTCATAATGAATCTCCTTTTATTAATCTATATATATCTTATTGGATTTGTTTCTCTGAAGAACTAGGACTAATACAGTTAACATTTAAAAATCTTCCAGGTTTCAGGATTCATATTCCTTATTCTATTCAATACAGATTTAGTTTACCTGTTCATTTCATCCTTATAACATTTATTTCATCACAGATAATACCTTTTTTTCTAGTGTCTCTCTTCACTCATGTAGGTTATGCAAGTCAAAGGTTGGTAAACTATTGCCCACAGGCAAATACAGCCTTCAGTTGTTTTTGTACAACCCATGAACCAAGAGTGATTTTTATATTTTTTAAAGGTTTTTTAAAAAAAGAGAAGAATATGCAAGAGAGCCTATATGTCAAAGATAGTTTCTGTCTGGCTCTTTACAGAAAAATTGGCCTACCTCTTTGCTACATCACAGTAGAAACACACACACACACACACACACAAACACACACACACAATTACACATGAGTCATATTCCTATTTTATTGAATGGACTGAAACTGATAGGGATACAAACAAAAGAAGAAAAGGCTTTAATTGTATCCCATTACAGTTTTATTTAAGCTATGTTGGATCTTCCTTCCCCAATCTTTGACAATATCTTAGGCAAATCCTGTAGCTTTCCAGACAACTTCAGGTATTAAAAACTCTAATTTATTCTCACATATATGCCAGTTGTCTTTTGACAAGGGTGCCAAGACATTCAATCAAGGAAAAGACAATGTTTACAACAAATGATTTTTGGGAAACTGGGTATCCACGTGCCAAAACATGGAGTTGTACTCTTCTTTCCACTGTATAAAATAATTCAAAATAGATTTCAGACCCAATTATCAGAGCTAAAACTATGAAACTATTAGAAGAAAACATAGGGAAAGTATAGGCAGCAAAAGAAAAAATAAATACATTAGTCTACATCAAAATTTAAAACTTCTGTGCATCAAAGAACACAATCAACAAAGTGAAAAGTCAGTCCACAGAATGGGAGAAAATGTTTGCAAATCCTATATATGATAAATGGTTAATATTCCAAATATACAGAGAACTACAACCCAAAAACAAGAAAGCTAAAAAAACTTGATTAAAAAGTGGGCAAAAGACCTGAATAGACATTTCTCCAAAGAAGATACATAAGTGACCAATAAGCACATGAAAATATGCTCAACATCAGTAATCTTTAGAGAAATGTCAATCAAAACCATGTAATACTTTATATCCATTAGGATGGCTACTATTAGAAAAAACCAAAAATAACAAGTACTGGTGAGAATGTGAGAAATTGGAATGAAGCACTGTTAATGGGAATGTAAAACAGTGCAGCCTCTATGGAAAACAGTATGGTGGTTTCTAAAAAAATTAAATGTAGAATTACCATATGATTCAGCAATGCCATTTCTGGGTGTACACCCAAAAGAATTTAAAGCAGGGACTTGAAGAGAGATTTGTTCACCCATGTTCATAGCAGCATTATTTGTAATAGTCAAAAAATGGAAGCAACTCAAGTGTCCATCAACAGGTGAATAATTTGTAAAGCATGTTAGTGATTTGTTTCTTTGCTCCTATAAGGCTATCTATCCTGCACAATTCCTTGAGGAATTATCTATCTAATCTACTTATCTATTGCTGCATAGCAAATGATCCCTAAAGGCAGCAATTTAAGACAACAAAGAATTGTTTTCTTGTATAATTGAGAGTTAGGATTTTGGAACAGAATTAGTTGGGTGGTTTTGGTTCATGAAGTTGCATTCAAGTTGAGCTAGGATACAGCCTTCTTAAGGCTTAACTGAGGCAGGCGGATATAAACAGAAACCCAAGCTCATTCAGATGGTTGTTGGCAGGAGGCTTCACTTCATCACATTATAGATTTCTTCACGGGGTTGCTCATGACATGGCAGCTGGTTTTCCTTAGAGGAGTGATCTGAGAGATGGAGATAGAGATAGATAGAGACAGAAGTATAGATATGTAGATATGCAGTAGTACCCTCCTATCTGAGTTTCCCTTTCTGTGATTTCAGTCACCACTGCCAATGGCAGGCCAAAACTCTTAAATGAAAAATTTCAGAAAGAAACCATTCATCAGTTTTCAATTGCATGCCATTTTGCATAGCGTGAGGAAATCTTGCACTGTCCTGTCATCCTGCCTAGAACATGAATCATTCCTTTGTCCAGTGGATTCATGCTGTATGTGCTGCCCAGCCATGATTCACTTATGAGCTGGGTCAATTATCAGCCAGAAAAAACATAGTGTATATAGGGTTCTGTACTATCTGCAGTTTCAGGCATCCACCAAGGGTTTTCCCTTGGGGGAACAGATAGTCGGTGGATAAACAGGGGTGGGGAATACTGCATACAGTGTCTTCTGTAACTCAATCTCAAAAGTGACATGCTCTCACTTCTGCTATAATGGTCAGGTCTTGTATAATAGGGGAGGGGACCACACAGGGTGTGAATAGCAGGAGGCAGGGATTTGGGGGACAATTTTGGAATCTGGCTACCACACGTACTAATGCTTTGTGATCCCCAAATTTCAGCCCTAAGCAGCCTACCCCCTACAGCAATTTCCTCCTGGAGTCCTCCAGCTCCAGTAGCCCTCTTGTGTTGAGTTCCTTCAAGACAGCTCATATCCCACTACCTAACTCATCTCATGAGAAAATCGCTGTCTTTACCATATTGATTGAGTGGTACAATCAGACTTGTGCTGCTGCCTCAATTCTGCCCTTGGGCTGCCATCAGTGGCTGCTTTGGCAGATTCTACAAAATTCCCATTGTTTATTTTAACTATTTTGCTATTATTTCCAGATAAGTATTATACTTGCTTAAGTAGACATATAATATTACTGTTTTAAGAACATATCAATGTTTTCTGTTGGTGTTTACTTGCCTTTGTTTAATGCTATTAATTGACTGCCATTTATTCAGTTTTTTCAGTTTAATAATTTTATGTGGGCAAGTGATGTGTCATGATCAGTAATTACTTCCTCATTTAATACAGAATGTGAAGTTGCAGGGATTCTCTCTAAAGTGACTAAGCTGTGCATTTGATAATAATCTTTTCACCATTAATTAATTTTTTATGAAAGATTTTAAGGTCTAGTTTCTCTCATTATTTTCAGATTTTGAGTTTAAGCGTTTATTTAAAGATGTTCTTATACAACTTTTTCTTTTTACCTCCCCCATCTCCTTTTTTTAAATTTAAATTTTAAGTTCTGGGGTACATGTGCAGGATGCGCAGGTTTGTTTCATAGGTAAATGTGTGTCATGGTGGTTTGCTGTACCTATCAACCCATCCCCTAGGTATTAAGCCCAGCATGCATTAGCTATTCTTCCTAATACTCTCCCTCCCACTAACCCACCCGCCCCAACAAGCCCCGATGTGTGTTGTTCCCCTCCCTGTGTCCATGCGTTTTCATTGTTCAGCTCCCATCCGCCACCCCTTTGATATATGTTTGATCAAGTTTCATCATTAGGCAGATGAAAAAATTATATGATTTGTTTTATATTGTGAAATCCAAATGATCAATTCCTACCATATTCTTGACTTGTAGTTATTCTCAGTGATTTAGTATTAAACAATATAATTGTGTTCAGGGGAATTTAAATATATTTATATCTACTAATAATTAAAATAAATGAAATATAAAATTATAATATCATTTTCAAAAAGTTATTTCTTTTACAAGCATATTTGGAATATGTTGTTAAAATAACTGGTAAAATAAAACAATAACTAATAAATTATACCTACAATTGAGATTTTAGAATCAAGATGAGGTAAACTGAAACAACATTTTGTCATTTTAATTAAATTTTACCACAATTTTAATAAAAACAATACAATTTACAATTCCAATGTTCCTTCTTGCTTTAGTTGTCTGGGTAAGTAATTGAGACATTACATCCACACCTATTAGATACAATTTTAAGAAAAAAATGAATTGTTCAGTATAGAAAAGTATTTCTTAGCTACTACTATGTGCAACTGCTGCACATCTCATGCTAATTTATGAAAGCCTCTAAAACATGTTTTGGAGTGTGAACAGAAGCAAGTAAATGGAGTTTCTGGAACATGGTGCTTCATGATGCAGACATTTATTAGTTTAATGCTGTGAGGAAGGAACGATTTGGAAATAGATTTTTCTTTTCTATTTTTTAAGCACTTCTACCTCTCAAGTCCTCCTTGATGTCTGAAGCTGTCTCTCTAGCATACCCCGTAACAGAACCCATCACTCTATCCCCTACTTTATTCCCAGACATAGGGCAAGAGGTGCGAACCACAGTTATTACTGTGGTATAGCTGGGATTGGTCAAGAGAGCAGGTGTTTTGAGTTATGGGTTACACATGCCAGCACATGGGATGTGGTGTACAATCTATGTTCAATGTATTTTTACTGAGTCAAATAATCTATAGTAATTAAGTCGCCTTAACTGAGACTGGATCTAGTGCTGCTGAGGCCATGAGACTCAGAGCAGAAAGAGGTTGATAGACTTTTTAATGTCCTAGGAGCTTTAATGTTTGAAGAAAATATGTTCTTAAGGGTTGTCAATTGTTTAATGTTCAATTAATAAATAATTTTAATTCATTAATCAATTGCACCCATTTTTTTGAGACGGAGTTTCTTGCTTTTGTAGCCCAGACTGGAGTGCAATGGTGCTATCTCGGCTCACTGCAATCTCCGCCTCCCAGGTTCAAGTGATTCTCCTGTCTCAGCCTCTCGAGTGGCTGGGACTACAGACACACACCACCACGTTGTGCAAATTTTTTGTATTTTTAGTAGAGACGGGGTTTCACCATTTTGGCTAGACTAGCCTTGAATACAGGTATACAGAAATACAAGTATACAGGTCTTGAACTCCTGACCTCAGGTAATCCACCCGCCTCGGCCTCCCAAAGTGCGGGGATTACAGGCGTGAGCCACTTTGCCCAACCAATCAATTGCCATTTTAAAAAAGGCGGCATTTCCCTAAAGAATTCATGGCACTTATACAAGAAATAAAAAAGTCTTATGAGAGTTACCAATTAGATTTCTCCAAACATTTAAACATTTATTAAAAATTTAATTAAAGGCCTTTTACATTTTAATTAAAATGAAGGTGTATAAGTACTTTACATCCCATAAGAAACACAAATGTGTAAAATATTGCAAAGTTTACAAAACCAATGAAAGCTGTTATACCAAACTATTATGAACAGAAGAGATAAAATTTACATTTTGTTCTTATCCTGCACGTTCCCGGGGTTTTATTTTTTACATTTTCTAGGAGTTTCAATAATCCTGCCAGCCATTGCTTTATTACTAGCTTGTGATTTTTGTAACCGTACCAGACCTAAAGAAAAATGAAGGTTATTGCTGATATTATAGCTTCTTGGGTAGAAATCACAAGTTCTTGGATGGCAAAATCCAAGACAATTAAAACCCAAGTGTTGATAACAGGCTGAGTCTGTTTTGTAAAACTATCTGCACTCCTTTTATTATGGGACTCTCAGGTCCTTGCCTTTTATGAAGATTCTCAGTTTTTGAGATGTGCTTTTCTTCATATGGGATATTCTTTAAGTTTTGTGAGAATAACTGTACGTTTTGGTATACAGACATAGATCGCTGATATTTAAAAAAAATAAGTATTTATTATTAATATTTTATTAAAATTAGTAGCTATAATTGGTAGAAATTTTCCTTTCCTAGAAAATGGGAGATTGTTTGTCTGGGTAGTTTCCTTCTTTAGAACATTTGGTGACTGTGTCCTTTCGGAAGCCTCCTGCTGCCTGTCTTTTAACTGATCTTACTATGAGAACTCACAGGTGCTGGGCCTTCCTCTCCTGTGTGTTGTATAAAATCAGCAGAGCCGATCAGACCTTCCTGTCCTTGGCATAGCTCCTACTTTTCCTGGGATTGTTTGGTTCACTCACATGTTTTTGTTCACCCTTTCCGTTTACGTAGACAGGAACAAATCCATACATACAGTTTGAAATATATATAGATTCTTAATTGAAGAACAAAGGCTCCATGAATATCACATTTTCAAATATTCATGGAGATTTCTTTAATATTTTATGTTTGTATTTAAATATATATTTAATAAATATTTTTATATTTTATGTTATATATTTAAAAGTCATTAAAAATTAAAACAATTCTTTTCATTTTTATTATTACAACCAATTTTTTGTGCATGTTATCTTGACTTTTCTCTTTTGAGCTTTGTTTTGAACTCATTCTCAAATTGGCATAACTTGGCTGGTGGGAAGCTGCCTTCTACTTCATCCTTTTAAGCTCTGCCCTTGATTTTCTTATGACAAAAATCGTGTGCTCCAGATTCATCTAGGTTTTTTCTTCCATATGGACTCCTTGGAGAGTCCTGTGTCTTTGAATCTTTGAATTGGAGGTTAGTGTTAGAGACTAAATCTGAGGGTGAGGATGCACCTGAGAACTGTGAAGGGTGAGAGCTGTCACTGCTACTATGGATTGAAAAAAAGGGAAAGATACTTTTAAGGTTATGGTTCCACATTCATCTTCCAAATTTATCATCATGCCATACCTCATTTTCACTATAGTAAACGATTTTATGACCCACCAAAATATCCTTTAATAGGCCGGGCACAGTGGCTCACACCTGTAATTCCAGCACTTTGGAAGGCTGAGGTGGGCAGATCACTTGAGGTCAGGAGTTTGAGACCAGCCTGGCCAACATGGAGAAACCCCATCTCTGCTAAAAATACAAAAATTAGCTGGGCATGGTGGAACGTGCCCCTGTATTCCCAGCTACTCGGGAGGCTGAGGCAGGAAAATCTCTTCAACTGGGAGGTGGAGGTTGTAGTGAGCTGAGATCTCGCCATTGCATTACAGCCTGGGTGACAGAGTGAGTCACTGTTTAAAAACAAAACAAAAAAAAAAAAAAAAAAGAAAAAGAAAAAAACAAAAATTAGCCAGCATGGTGGTGCATGCTTGTAGTCCCAGGTACTCAGGAGGCTGAGGCAGGAGCATCACTTGAACTTGGGAGGTGGAGGTTGTAGTGAGCTGAGATTGCGCCATTACACTCCAGGCTGGGCAACAGAGTGAGACTCAATCTTAAAAAAAAAAGAAAAAGAAAAGGAAAAAGAAAAAAATCCCTCAACAGTGACAAGGCAGAACTCAGTGAAGAGTGTGCTTTTTTTTTAGGGGATTAGTGAGATCCTCTATCTGGGTCATCCAGAGGAAAAGATTTACATATGTATGCTGTGTTTGTATGTGATATGTGTGTGTCATGTGGTCTGTGGTCTGTGTGTAGTATGTGTGTGTGTGTTATGTGGTATGTGTGTATATGGTGTAGTGCATTGTGTGTGGTGGGTGTATGTGTATGGTATGTATGTGGTGTGTATGTGTTTGTGTGTGGTGATGTGTGTTGTTTGTGGTGGGTGTATATGTATGGTTTGTGTAGTGTGGGGTGTGATGTGTGTATAGTGTATGTGTGTAGTGTGTTGTGAGTGTGGTGTATGTGCATGGATATGGTGTGTGTGTGTGTGTAGTGTGTTTTCTATGTATTGTGTGTGGATGTGGTGTATGTGTGTGTAGTGCTATTGTGTGTGGTGGGTATATATATATGGTATATGTGGTGTGTGTGTAGTATGGTGTCTGCATGTGTGTGTGTGTAGTGCATTGTGTGTGATGGGTATATATGTATGGTATATGCCGTGTGTGTGTAGCATGGTGTCTGTGTGTGTGTGTAGTGCATTGTGTGTCGTGGATGTTTATGTATGGTGTGTGTAGTGAGGGTGTGGTGTATGCATATGGTACATAGGGTGTATGTGTGTGGTGTGTGCATAGTGTGTTGATGTGTGTGGCATATGTGTGTGGATGTGGTGCGTGTGCAGTGTGTTAAGTGTGGTGTATGTGTGTGGATGCGGTGTGTGTGGGGTGTGTGTGTAGTGTGATGTGTGTGTGGCGCGTGTGTGTGGATGTGGTGTGCGTGTGGTGTGTGTGTAGTGTGATGTGTGTGTCGTGTGTGTGTGTGTGGATGTGGTGTGTGTGGGGTGTGTGTGTAGTGTGATGTGTGTTTGGTGTATGTGTGTGGATGTGGTATGTGTGTGGTGTGAGTATAGCACATATGTATAAAGTTTTATTTTCTCCTATCTTTTGATGTTGATTGCCTAGTTCCTTGCTGATCCTGGTTCCTTGATGATTTGACTTGGGGATGGGATGGTGGAGGCGAGGCATTTCTTTCCTTTTTCTGTGTGGCCATCCTGGATTTCTGTGTTCCGCTACAGATTGCCAGAGTACATCAAAGGAGTAGCAGAAACCCTGGATTTCTGGGTTTCTGCTACTCCTTTGATGTACTCTGGCATTCTCCTTTAGTTATTTTTATCAAAATGTATTTGTTTATTTGTTGTTTTGGCTGTCTTTGTTGGGGGAATGAGTGGGAGGGGCTTCTAATTGGCCATCTTGCTAACATCACTCTCAGTGCTAGTGTTAATAATTTTTATGGTATCTTGACCTACAAGCAAAAAAAAAAAATCATAAATTTATTTTGTAAATTAAATTCCGCTGCTTCCATGGCAAAAAAGAAAAAGAAAAAACAGCTTGATAAGATGAAATCTGATTTAGAATAAACTCTATCCAAGTCTTTTAAAATCATAACCGTCTTGAAATTCTTGCATTAAACTATATGATTTCCTTAACTTAGGCCATTTACCCAGAGAAATAAGTGAACTAGGTGAATAGAACTTTTCCTATTGTTGTTCTTGTGGATTTCCTTTTATTTTATTGTGCTGGTTGGGATTATATTGCCTGGAAAGGAAATTAGACTTTTGTGTCTAAACAATGACAAAAACCACTACATAGTCAATTGCTAGATGTTGCTTAAGCTGAATGACAAAAAATGATATCTACAAAATGAGGGTTGCCAAGGAGAAAAACCTTGCCTCTGATGCTTCAAAGGTACCATTTTTTTTTTCCAGCTGGGACCTCAATCTCTTCTAGTACTTCTTCGACAATAGCTAGCCTCTCTTCACCCATGGTCCCTTGGCTGGATGTGGGGCAGGGGCTGTCCCACTGACATTCTTCCCTCTGGGGAACTATTTGCCTTCCTTCTTTCTGACTCTCAGTCACATACAGAAAGCAGCCAGTTAAGCTTGACTGACATTCTCACAAATGAGCCCATCCTGCCAGATTTTTGCACTTGGGGCTTTTTAGCTGTAAAAGATTTATTTGGAATGAATTGATTTGCCCTGAGGGAAACTGATTCCAGGCAATGCTGTGTAACTGGAAATATACGTTTTAAGCAGAAAGGCCCTTCACCTTTCAGCTGAAATGATACTGTGCCCAAAGAAGATGGTCCTGGAGATGAGTCTGCTTACTTTCTTTAGGGGTCTGAGAAGGAGAGAGCTGGGTGAGAAGAGGCAGGTGGTAGATCTATCCTGTTTCCATACACATCCCTCATTTCATTCACAGCCCCAAGATTGCAACATGATAGCCCGCAGACCTCTGCTGACTCTTTCCCTTCCCTGGCCCCGTTTGTCACCTTGTCAAAGGGGTCTTCCCACCTCCCAGCCCACCACACAGGCAGGGCAATCATCTGATGGGACTTGACTCAGGTGGGTCAATTAGAGCTATTTCAAATATAAACGTTGAGAAGAGCAGCCAGCTGGCTCTCTCCTCTGGAGCCATGCACTATAAGAATCTGTTAGGCTCAGAGCTGCTGCAGGCAACTTTCCCAGCAAATAGAGAGAACTCAGTAGAGGATAAAGCCAACATGAAGGAAAGCAGAATAAAGACAGGAAGAGACAGGGTCCTGACAATATTCAATTAAATCAGCTGTGCTCAAAATCAGCCCACCTTCCGAACTTTGACTTTGAATGAGCATATAATTACTTTTTCCCCTTACTTTACTTTGACTTGAATTTCTATCATTTTCAACCAAAAAGCCTTGACTAATGGAACAACAACAACAAAAATAACAATTGCGTGTGGTATGAATTATGTAGTGTATTAACAAAAGTGAATTTTCTGTGTTCAATTTGCACTAATTGTATCATCTGCAGAAAGATACACTTTCCAGCGATGTTCTTCTCAATATTTAAAAGTTACAGCTTAGACTTTTTAAACAACTTTCCCAGCAGATGAAGAAAGCCCAGTAGAGAATGAAGCCAATGTGAGTTATGAAGCCCAAGTCAGAGTTTAAACTTTAAAAAAAAACTTTGAAATTCTGACCTTTATATATTAAGAACATTGCTGGAAAGAGCATCTTTCTCCAGATGATACAGTTACTGCAAACTGAGCACAGAAAAGCTCTACAAAAATATGCTTGGTTATTCTGGACAGGGTTTTATCAGAGACTGTGTCAGCCAACATCTACTGTTGTCAGCACATTCTCATTTTGTTTATATCACACGGTTCAATTCACAGCTTCCTTGGTACTAAATACAAGACAGATTTTATTTCTACTCATTTTTACAGCAGCAAATCAAGGCCCCATCTGATATTCTTCAGAAGTCATATGACTGTATGAATACTCTTACCAAAGCACCAATATCTCCCTTTTGTCCTATTAACATAAACTTCAAGGACAAAAGGCAGCTTTAGAACTCTCCAAGTTCAGGCCAGGAATATTTACTGACATCCTAATACATGGGCAGTGCAATGCTCGTGACCAAAACTCTATTAAATGCACTGCAACTACAATGCCTTCAGTATTTGTTTCAAATGCTTGCTGCTCTTGCTCTCTCTCCCTTTCTATTTCTTTCTCTCTTTTACACACACACACACACACACACACACACACACACCCCACACACATACACAGTTAGCATCTACCATTGTAGTCTCCTAGCATGCCATCTCTACTGTTTTGAGAACAGAGTTTTGTTGAAATAAAATAAAATAGCCCTGCCTCTAAATGTAGAATAATAAGGGAGACTGCTTCTTTAGTTGACTCCTTAATCTAAATGCCCACTAAGAACAGGCTTTCATTCCTACCTAGTCAGGCCAATACCTGATTAATAATTTCCCTGTATATTTGTGTGAAGAACAGCATTTTACATCATTTAAAATTAATCTGTTTTTGTTTTCTGTTTTTTTCTCAAAATAAGTGGGTTTCATGCTAGGGATAAAGGGATGGTTTAACATTTGCAAGTTAATAAATGTGATATACCTTACAAACAAAACTAAAAACAAAAGTCATATGATCATCTCTATAGACACAGAAAAAACATATGACAAAATCCAGCATTCCTTTATGATTAAAACCCTCAGCAAAATCGGCATAGAAAGGACATACCTTAAGGTAATAAAAGCCATCCATGACAAACCCACAGCCAACGTTACACTGAATGGAAAAGTCGAAAGCATTCCCCCTGAGAACTGGAACAAGACAAGGATGTTCACTCTCACCCCTACCATTAAACATAGCTTTGTAAGTCCTAGCCAGAGCAGTCAGACAAGAGAAAGAAATAAAGGTATCGAAATCAGTAAAGAGGAAGTCAACTTGTCTCTGTTCACTGAGGACGTGATTGTATATCTAGAAAATCCCAAAGACTCATCCCAAAAGCTCCTAGATCTGATAAATGAATTCAGGACACAAAATCAATGTACACAAATCAGTAGCACTGCTATACACCAACGGCAACCAAGCTAAGACTCAAATCAAGAACTCAACTTTTTACAGCAGCTACCAAAAAATACGTACATATATATGTATAGAATACTTAGGAATATACCTGATCAAAGAGGTGAAAGATCTCTATGAGGAAAACTATAAAACATTGTTGAAAGAACTCACAGATAACACAAACAAACAAAAAAAACACATCCCATGCTCTTGGATGGGTAGAATCAATATTGTAAAAATAACCATACTACCAAAAGGTATTATTTAGGATTTCCATCAAAATACCATCATCATTCTTCACAGAACTAGAAAAACAATCCAAAACTCATATGGAACCAAAAAAAGAGCTTGCATAGCCAAAGCAAGACTTAGCAAAAGGGACAAATATGGAGGCATCACATTATCCAACTTCAAACTATACGACAAGGCTATAGTTACCAAAACAGCATGGTACTGGTATAAAAACAGGCATGTAGACTAATGGAACAGAATAGAGGGCCCAGAAATAAAGTCTAATGCTTACAGCCAACTGACCTTTGACAAAGCAAACAAAACATAAAGTGGGGAAAGACACCCTATTCAACACACGGTGCTGGGATAATTGTCAAGCTGCATGTAGAAGAAACTGGATCCTCATCTCTCACCTTATAAAAAAATCAACTCAAGATGAATCAAAGAATTAAGTCTAAGACCTGAAACCATAAAAATTCTAGAAGACAACATTGGAAAAACTCTTCTAGACATTGTCTTCTTAAGGAGTTCATGACCAAGAACCCCAAAGGAAATACAACAAAAACAAAGAAAAACAGACGGCACTTAGTTAAACTAAAAATCTTCTGCACAGCAAAAGAAATAATCAGCAGAGTAAGCAGACAACCCACAGAGTGGGAGAAAACATTTGCAAACTGTGCATCCAACAAAGGACTAATATCCAAAATCTACAAGGAACTCAAACAAATTAGCAAGGAAAAAACAAATAATCCCATCAAAGAGTGGGCTAATGACATGAATGGGCAATTCTCAAAAGAAGATATACAAATGGACAGCACACATGAAAAAATGCCGAACATCACTAAGTATCAGGAAAATGCAAATCAAAACCACAATTTGATACTACCTTATTCCTACAAGAATGTCCATAATCAAAAAATAATAGATGGTGGCATGACTGTGGTGAAAAGGGAACACTTTTACACTGCTGGTAAGAATGTAAACTAGTACAACCACTCCGGAAAACAGTGTAGAGATCCATAAGGAACTAAAAGAAGATCTACCATTTGATCCAGCAATCCTACTCCTGGATCTCTACCCAGAGGAAAAGAAGTCATTATATGAAAAAGACACTTGCACATGCATGTTTACAGCAGCACAATTTGCAATTGCAAAAATATGGAACCACCCCACATGCCTGTCAATCAATGAGTGGATTTTAAAAATGTGGAATATATATACCATGGAATACTGTTCAGCCATTAAAAGGAACAAAATGGCATTTGCAGCAACCTGGATGAAATGAAGACCATTATTCCAAGTGAAGTAACTCAAGAATAGAAAACCAAACATCATATGTTCTCATTCATAAGTGCGAGCTACGCTGTGAGGACACAAAGGTCATAGGAATGATACAATGGACTTTGGGCACTCGGGAGAAAGGATGGGATGGGGGTGAGGGATAAAAGACTACACATTGGTACAGTGTACACTGCTTGGGTGATGTGTGTACCAAAATCTCAGAAATCACCTCTAAAGAAGTTAGTCATGTAACAAAACACTGCCTGTTCCACAAAAACCAATTGAAATAAAAAATAAAAATTAAAAAAAGTAATAAATCTTATTCTTTTAAGGAAAAGGTAGATGTGATTGTGACTCCTGCTTTTTAGTAAAAGAAAAAGTAAATCCACATCATTATGCAAGGAAAATAATTAGTCAAATACTAAGATCTGAACTTATTCTCTCAGCAACTACACTTGGAATGAGCATCGATTCCTTTGCCCTCCCCCAACTGAGTGAGGAAATACAACTGATCTGATAGGAAAGCAACTCTAAGAATTTTCTTCACTACCACAGTGGCCAGTACACTATGGGCATGCTTTAAGTATTGGTTACTTGTTGAATTACCTCACATCTACAGACATTTGCTATTCTTGAAGGATGCTTCATATCACAACCTCTGTTTGATGATTGAGTCATCGCCCTGGTTTATGAAATAGTAGCAGATGCTCTCTCTCCCTCCCAACCTTTCTTGCAACTAAGGGCAAGTACTTGCTAATCAGATACTCCTGGCCCAGACTTTAAATTGCAAGCTGGGTCACAAGTGAGCTGTTCTCTGCAGAATCCATTCTGGCAGGGGTCAGGGAGCAGGGGTGGCTCAGAGACAGCTGTGGCTGTAGCTTAAGTGGTAGATTCTGACGTCTAGTGTCAGAGCTCTACGGGATGTAAGTTGCAGTGCTGTGGCCAGTGGCAGCAAGAGAGTCATCCACAGCCTACTCTATAACACAACAGAAATGTTTTTCCTGACTATGCAGCCTAGAACCTGGTCTTCTGTGCCACCCATCCTCCAGAAATCCTGTAAATTAACCAAAATTGATTTAAAAAATTAAGTTATAATTCACACGCAGAAAAGAGTCTTAAGAATGTAGGTCAATAATAGCTTACATATCTACTTCCCTCTGTAACCACTGCCTGGATCAAGATATAGAGTATTTTCAACATGCAAAAGTCTTGTTCATAGAGCGCTCTCTCAGTATTTCCTTAGGAACGGCAATCCTAACTTCTCTCCCAGAGACAAGTTTCTCCTGTTGTTGAACTTCATGTAAATGGAATGACACAGTATGTAGTCTTCTGTGCCTAGCTTCCTTCACTCAACATTGTGTTTGTACAATCCATCCACACATGCCTCTATTGAGGCATGCATCAGATCAGTTTTTAAACTGATGTCTAGATTTCCATTGTGTATTTATAACACAATTTATATAGTTTGTTGACGAACATTTGGTTGCCCCCAATTTTGGGTTATTACAATTAAAGCTTCTACACAGCTTATTGTGTATGATTTTTGGCGGACACAAGTACAGATTCTGCTAGGTATACCCAGGAGTAGGTCACTGGGTTTAAGTATGTTTAAATTTAGTGGCTACTCACATTTTCCAAAATGATTGATTTATATTCTGACCAGCAATATGAGAGAATTTTAGTTGTAAATATTTGGCATTGTTAACATTTTAACTTTAGCCATTTTGGCAGGTATTAAGCCATGGTTCATTGGGATATATTTGTGTGTGTGTGCATGTGTCTTTGACCACATATTAAAGAAACTCATGAATGAGGAATCAAAAGAAAGATAAAGCTTGTTCAAAGGACTAAAGGAAAGATAGAAATACTTACAGTCATTAAAAGAAAAAAAGTTACTTTAGATAAAAACTTGCTTAATGTCCAACAGGTAAATGAAACCATAATCTTTAGTGTTATCTTTTTTACTGAGACTAATTTACATGTCTACAGAAAAAAATCAATTGCATTGTTCTAGAGAATAATTTACATGCCATTCAGTTTACTAAAAATTAACGTCGATCTAGATGTACAAACTTAATTATTTTATCCCTGCAGAAGTTGTATGTTGGAACCCTACTACCCATTGTGACCGTATTAGGATGTGGGGCCTTTCAGAGGCAAATACATAATGAGGGTGGAGCCCTCATGAATAAGATTAGTGCCCTTATAACAAGAGACATGAAAGAGATTATCTTCCTCTCAGCCATGTAAGACTACAATGAGAAGACAGCCATCTGTGAACCTGGAAGTGGGCTGTCACCAGACACTGGATCTGCCAGCACCTTGATCTTGGACTTCCCAGCTCCAGAATTGTGAAAAACAAATATTTATTGGTTAAGCCACCTAATTTATGTTTTCTTGCTATAGCAGCTCAAACTGACTAATATCTTGACAAATAGCAACTACTGAGTCAAAGATGGACCTATCTGACAATGAAAGGACATGCAGTCATCCTTTTCTCTTTACAAGTTAAGGACATTTTTCATTAATCATTCTTTCATTGCTATTACTAAGGATCTCATGGTGGTTCAGCCTTGTACACTTACATAGATGCAGCAAGAAGCATTATTTAACATTTAGAAAACAACTTGTGATGTATAACCAGGAAATTTAGAGCTGTACCTACTTAAGAACAGGAGATTAACTTCTATCTAAAGATGTTGTAGGAACAGTTTTTCAACAGTCTTCATTACTCCAAGATATTTTTAGTTACTCTTCTATCCTAATAATAGAAAACCAAACCCAATAAATTCATCTCCATTAGATTTTACCTGCAGAACGTATAAATGTGGGTACATTCCTTTGTTGTCAAGGTCTCAAAAATCTTCTGAAACCATGGGCCTGCAAGAAAGTGACCTTACTTCCTGTAAGGCTGGGTCTCTATCAACCATGGAACAGACACAAGACCAGCTTCCTAGGAGGTTTTTTAGACATTGGTTTCACATAGGAAGTACAACTCTTGTTTTTTTAATGGTGGACTAGTCATACATATTAAAATAAATTTATTGGCACTCTAAAAAATAAAATAATTTGGTATTTGTCAATTAATTTGTAAAATTAATTGTTTGTTAAAAAGGCTTTGTTGAATCTATGTAAGTAACTAAGTAACTACATTGCCACTAAAAGAAAAGAGATTCAGTAAAAATAATTGTTGCTGACTACTGAAGGATCAATGAGAATAAGATACCCTTTTTAAAATTTCCTACTAAAATAAGATTAGAGATAAAAGAGTTCAGAATAGGTTAAGTAGCAATATTGATTGTATACCTATCAAAAATATAACATTGGTTGGACATGGTGGCTCATGCCTTAATCCCAGCACTTTGGGAGACCAAGGTGGGCGGATCACCTGAGGTCCAGAGTTCAAGACCAGCCTGACCAACATCGAGAAAACTCATCTCTACTAGAAAAAAAAAAAAAAATAGACCAGGGGTGATGGTGCATACCTGTAATCCCAGCTACTCAGGAGATTGAGGCAGGAGAATCACTTGGACCTGGAAGGCAGAGGTTCCGGTGAGCCAAGATCGTGCCATTGCACTCCAGCCTGAGCAACAAGAGTGAAACTCCATCTCAAAAAAGGAAAAAAATATATATATATATGTGTATATATATAACATTGACATGCAACACATGCAGGGAACTAAAAAAGAAGAAAAAGATATAATATCAAAACTAATGCTAACATTATTTCAATAAAAAAATTACGGTTTTGTATTCTCATCAGTTCATCATTTCTCTTAAATAAGTTTTGCTTCACTAGATATTGGGGAGCAGTCTAGTTTTCAAGAGTTCATGTCTTTCTAGACTGGAAGGAGTTCTGGAAATCTTGTCCCATGGGACACTCTGACAGTTGCCCAAGCAATGTCCGCTCAGAAGCCGTGTATACGTGAGTCTAGTTTTGGAAGTAACAATAGGTATAGAAGTTTCTCGTGCCGTCTTTTCCAGTAAATTTCTGAAACTATCTTTGTTTGATAAAGATCCATTTCTAGAATTGTAGCTTATAGCAGAGCCTTCAGGCAAGCATAAGACAAGGACTGAGACCACTGGTTTATGAGAAGACAGACTGGCTGCAGTTATTGTAATAACTAACAAAATCAGAATGAAGGAAAGTAAAATTTTCCACTAGGGTATAGTATATAATTACTTTCTGAGGATTTGATCAACGTTTCCCCTGAAGGTAAGAATAGTCTATGAACAGTTAGAGTTTTTAACAAATATCCAGGGCTTTCCAATCCCTTCTGCCAAATTGTAACAAGCTCTGAAACACACTTATCAGGAAGAGTTTACCAGCACAGAACTAACCTAGGAAAAACTGAGCCTCATTTATTTGACCTTTTCCCATG